TCAGGGGCTTGGCTGCTAAGCAACCAGTGGGCCGTTCTCATTCACCAGGAGCTGACGGCTTGCTTCCCCTCAGAATTACAGCTTTGGGGGTGGGGTGGGGGGGAGCATGCCTTCTCTGCCCTGCGGGGCTCTGTGAGTCGGCATCAACTCAGAAAAGAGTTGGGGCAGCTGGAGGTGCAGAGGCCTGACCCGGGCTTGTCCAAGGGTTTGTTCTCTGTGCAGGGCCACTGCCAAGCCCCGGCCAGGGAGCCCAGCAGGGGTGTGACCGACCCCCGGAAGTATGGTCGCTGGCCACAGTGGTGATTCCCACGGCTGGTGACCCTCATCCGAGGGCCCAAACTGTGAATCTGCAGGCATACAGCTTCCGCCAGGCAGGGTCACCTCTCCGGAGAAGAGGGCAGGTCTGCCCGAGACAAAGGGAGGAAGGAGGTCCTATTACCTACGGGTGCCATTTCCTGGGGTTCCCCAGTGTCCTTCTCCTGACTCTCACCCCCCAGTAGGGCTTGGTGTCCTGGTGAGTCCCTGCTGGCCTTCGGCTCCCTTCTCCCAGGCTTTTACATCCTGCCCTCGCAGAGGACCCCACTCCCCACCCCCACATGCTATGAATCAAACTCTGCCATCTCATATGGCACATAAAAGCAGCCACGTGTGCAGAGCTTCTGGTGACATTGATTCAAGGGCAGCACCCAGGGAAAGAACATAAAGACTCGTGGGTGCAAGGGGTCCCTCCACCCTGCTCCCCAAAGTGCCCCTCCGAGGGCATCCTGGGGGCTGGAGGGCCCCACGGGGCCCAGGATTTATTCGAGCAGTTTTGCAGGTCTAGGGGGACAGGGAGCATTTTGGTGTGGGTGATTGTCTCCTTGGTGGCTAGGTCTACGATGGCCACTGGCAGGCATGTCCTTAGTGCACACTTGTCATGAGCCGGTGCCCTGAGGACTCGCTCAGCCCAGCTCAGCTCAGCTGCTGTGTCTCCAGCCGGCCACCTCATCCGTCATTTCATAGGTGGATTCAGAAACAAAAGCTTCCTCTCTGGATGGTCCCTGAGTATGGGGCGCCCCAGGTGCGTGAGGGGGTGGGGGTGGTGGGGAAGGCAAGCTCTGCTTTCTCCTCATCACTGTCCCTGAAATTTAGCACCCTGCCTGGTGTCATCCACACCAAGCCAAATACCCTGCCATCCAGTTGATTCGGATGCACAGTGACCCTAGAGGAGAGGGCAAAGCTGGCCCTGGGGGTTCCGGAGTTGTAACTCTGTATAGGAGTAGACAGCCTCATCTTCTCCCATGAAGGGGTTGGTGGTCCCAAACTGTTGGCCTTGTGCAATGAGTGATCACCAAGCCACCTGGGCTCCCACACCTGGCAGGGTGAATACTCAATACATACATGTAGAATTAAGAAAATAAAGGAGGGAACATGGTACACAGAACATGTACCATGGCCTTGTAACTCCGGTGTCATGATGGGGTGACGCTCGGCAGTTAACGTGCTTGTGGCTCACCACTGGAAAGCTTTTGAACAATGCAAATAAGGTGCACGGAACTCCTGTGGGGGTGGGACCATGCAAATAAGGTATATGAAACCCTAACAAAAGGATTGGCCAGTTTTGCCATCCACTGGCTTAAAAGATAGCCACTCACAGAGCAAAGTGTTAGGGGCACATTATCATTAAGAAAGAAGAGCCAAGAGTGGAGCCTGCCCTTTGGACCTGGAGTCCCTGCACTGAGAACCTCTTAGGCCCAGAGACCAAGAGTGGTCACACTGGACAGAGTGCCGAGAAAAGGTGGCCACAGGACCAGGAGACTGGAACAGGATCTTGTAGTGGGTTTCTCCCTGGCCCACGGAGGGAAGTAGCTAGCCCACAGAGTTGAGTGCCATCAGGCCAAGCCTTGCTGGTGGACTGGGTGTCACTGGCAGTTATCGAGGGAGCTAAAGAGCTTTGTAACACTTGTTGGAGCAGGACAGGGGTTCGACCAGCCTCAAATGTCCAAAAGACCAAAGGGTTGATAGACCCAAGGATGAGGGTCAGGGAGAAGCCAGCCTGTGGGTACGGTCGAGAAGCTGCCCTGACAGAAGAACTGTATCCTTAGTCATTCCTGATCATGAACTGTAACCTGGTACTTCCCTAACCTACTGCTGACTGATAGCATCCTTATTGGGCAAGATAGGACTGCTCCCTAGGGTTTCTGAAACAGTCTCATCTTTCTCCCCTGGAGGGGTTGGTAGATTTGAACTGCTGACCTTGGGTCAGCAGTCTGATGCCCAACCCAGCGCGCCACTAGGGTTTTCCTGATACTTCCCTCATAAAAGAAAAACAAAACAAAACAAACACTCTCATCCAGTTGATACAGACACATAATAATTCTACAGGACAGGTTAGAATTGCCTCTGAGTTTCCTAGACGGTAACGATTTATGGGAATAGAAAGCCCTATCTTTCTCCTGTGGAGTGCATTGGTGGTTTTGAACTGTGGACGTCAAGGATAGCAGCCCAATTTGTAACCCACTATGAGCCCAGAGCTCCCTGGCGAGACAGCAGTCTCTGCATATTAGCCATTTTCCTTGTTTTCAGTGGGAGTCTTAACACCGACCAGCTGCCTGGCAGTAGAAAGATGTGGCAGCCTGCTTCGGTCAACGGCACCGTCTTGGAAACCCTATGGAGCAGTTCTGCTCCGTCCTGTGGGGCCGGTTCAGAATCCCCTGCATGACTGTAAAGTTTAAATGAAAGTCCCCTCTCTTGAACTCCATCCTGCACCCGTTCTGGCTAGAGCTGGCCAGCCGTTCAAGAACCTGTGGCCACCCTTCCTGCCCCGTTTCGATGTTCTCTTCTCCAGCACAATATGTCCCAATTTTGCCAACAGTTGCTCATAAGGTCCAGTTTGCAAAACTGGCCCATCCCAGCGGGCACCTCCTGTAGGTGCAATTGGATAGACCGGCCTGCCCAGAATAAACACCCAAGGTGAGATGGGCTGGGCTGGGCAGGCCCAAGTCCTTCTCTTGGTGGACCCCTGATGGTTCTAAGCACCACCTGAAGACTGAACTTGGTGTTGACCACTCGGGGAGGAAAAGTCGTGTTCTTTCCCCAGTGACCATGCCGCACATGCAGAGAGGCAGGGTTTAGCAAGAGCGTGTCCTCAGACTGATCTCTTCTCCACCCTCAGTGGAGGCCATGCTGGCGGACTGGCCACCAATCGAGGGGAACCATAGGGAAGAAGTAGGAAAACCAGGGGAGCCTGGCCTCGGCCCAAGGTGCAGAAGGGGTTTTGCGGTAGTTACATAATTTCATGTCAACTTGAAGGTATATAAAAGTGTAGGGGTGGAGTCCAGCCTGTCAATCAGGTCGCAGCCTGATGATGAGGTGACTCCTTGGGGCGTGACCTTCTCATAAGGGGGGGCCCTGGGAACCTACCACTCTCTGCCTTCCCTTCCTGTTGGCAAGCCACTCTGAAGCCTGCCAGAGTCCTGCAGATGCGCTCACCACCACTGGAGCCACAACCACCTTTGTGAGGAGACCTTTGGGGCCCCACAGTGTACCCCAACAGGGCTGGGCACCAGGCGGTATGGGCACCAGGTGACGGCCTGGCCATAAGCACAGAAGCCTGTTATGCTTCCAAAAGACCCTTCAGCCGGGGTGGTGGGGCTTGGTTGGGGGTGGGGGTGGGTCACTGGCTGTGCACAGAGATCCAGGTCCTGTGAGGGTACTGGGGTGAACCCAAAGTCACTGTAGGACCCTGCTGCTCTTACAGAGGGATAAGAGAACCTGGTATGAGGGAGGAGTGCAAACAGAAGGACTCTGGCCAGTCCCCAGAGGCCCAGGCCCCTTCTTTGGCAGGACACCTGGGAATGAACAAAACCCAGTCCCTAGGTACTTGGACATGGACCTGGGTGTGCAGACCACGAGGTGGGGGTAAGGGAAGGGGTGAGAGCTGGCCAGGGGGGAGGGGAGGAGTAAGTTGGAGGAGGACATGGGGAAATGGGCTCAGCTTTGGGCAGGGTGGTCTAGGATGGAGAGCCT